GCCTTTTGAATCCCTTCAAGAGCTCCTAGGATCTCAGCCCTCAGAGAATCACCCACCCCAATTGGACCAGAATACATAGCTAGCAGGTTCCCATTTTCATCCCTTATTACTCCCCCAGCTCCGGAGGGCCCTGGATTACCCATGCTGCTGCTGTCAAAATTCAGTTTGGTAAATCCCTGAGGTGGAGGTGTCCAGCAGGAATTTGAGGTCTTCCTGATTGAGCCTAACTCCGCAATCTCCTTCCACTTTCTGGCCATGTCATCAACTGAACACTACAAACAGCTCCAAAGTTTTTAACCAGTGAATCACCCTAATGTGGATACTTTCCAGAATAACTTCCAGGCTTCTCTCCTCATCAGAAAATACCCTTAAATTTCTCTCCTCCCAAACAGTCCAACACACTGCAGCCCTACCACATCTCCACATGATCTTGGCCCTTTTGGTTAACCCGTTAGGCATGGAAGTAAATAAGCTTTGCACATCCAAAGGGGGAGTCTCTTAAACTTTGTTTAAGAGAATATTCCTGATTAGTACCCTGTACTTTGGGCCTAATGCCACTTTTGGTTCAGTATCCGAACTTTCAAAATGTGTCAATCCAGTACCTACCGTTAACCAACTGTTAATCAGCCGTTAAGTGGCATTTGAAAAAGACACAAATGCCCTTCAAGTGTCATCTAATTTTCTTTATTAACCATTCAAACATTGACAAAAATTTAACAATCCCAAATCCCTGCTTCTTCTATTCAAGTTGGGGTCACGTCTCAATGGACATTTTGGACCCCAACTTTCTTGAATAAAAGAGGCAAGGATTTTAGGACTGTTAATTTTTTGTCAATGTTTGGATGGTTGATAAAAAGTTAGGTGACACTCGAAGGGCATTTGTGTCTTTTTCAAATGCCATTTAACAGCTGGTTAACGGTAGGTACTGGATTGATACATTTTGAAAGTTTGGGTACTGAATTGTTGCATGTTAAAGTTCGGGGACCAAAGTGGCATTAGGCCGAAAGTACAGGATACTAATCAGGAACTTTCCCTTTATTTTATTTTTGAATAGCTAAGAGTATTTGTTGATGTGTAAATAGCCAGAAAATAGCTACAGTGGCACCCATGCACACCAAGGTACACTGGGAAGTTACAGAGAGAATATAGTTATAATATTTTTTATGAGAAAATATAATTCTAATATTTTTATGAGAAAATATAATTCTAATATTTTTATGAGAAAATATAATTCTGATATGCACCAAGCCAATGGAGAATATGAATTGTCTATACTTGATGATGAAGCAAAATGTAATATTTTGGCTTTAGGGGCCTTGCTTTTAGATTTCTACATCAGGATATTATATAGCATGTTTTTTTTTTTCGTTAATCAAATATAGCATGTAGTTTGTTCCTACACTGAGTCATCTTTGAATTATTGGGAGATAAATGACTATACCTTGTTTGGAAAAGTACTACTTGGTGAGCCATGTTTTCTGTTGATGTCTTTGGAGTTTGGATTTGGGAGCTGAAAGCATATTTTCTTCCAGTTTTCCTTCTCCACTGTTGTATCTCTAAGTATCTTATTTCCATAGTTTCCCACCACGCTGGTTTCAATCTCCCTTCATCCTCCAAAATATCTTTTTTTTTTTTTTTACTTTTCTTCATTTTAATACCTCAACCTCCCAAGTTGGATAGGCTTATCAGTTAATCACATTCAGAGTTAGAGTTGATGGATGATTTGTTGGCTAGTTCTTTGTGATTATATTTACTGCATTACAAGGTTTTTAAAATTGAACCAGACAATGAACCGTTCAGGGTCTGGTTTCTGGGTCGAACAGTCTGACCGTTTGAACTGAATGGATGGCCTATTCTGACAAAAAAAAGTAAAAATTTTAAAATATAAAAGACGGTTAAAAACCCAAAAGATGGTTCTGGGGTGAAATGGAACCAGTCAGGTAACCAGTTTCTGGTGTTTTCGGTCCGACCTTCCAGCCCAATTCGATTTTAAAAACATTGCTGCATTGTCAACAATCCTTGTCGTTTCTGCTGAGATGTAAATATCCAATGGCCCTTTTAAGGGGAATGTTGCACTTGCACCTAATCCAAGGATTATACTAGTATTTTGACCCAAATTAACGAACTCGCCAGCGTGTCTGATTGGGATTTTATCAATTTGGATGGGGTGGGCCTGTCCAAAAATTTGAATATCCTGAGAAGGGGCTTATCGGAAACTAGTGCATTTGAAAGAACTTATGGACAACTCAATAGGTTCTTGATTCTAAGCCTGTAAGCCAACTTCAGTGAGCTGGAAATTCACAAAAAAAAAAGGCCAAATTCAAGCACAAGAACAATGAACAATTTGCTGCATTTATGCAAGTTGAGTGCTTTCAGAAGGGCAAGGAATGGGCCAAAGAAGATATCAGTTGAGGTGGAAGGTTGAATAGAATTCATGGGGGCTACCATGAATAGATGGTTGAAGATTCATTAATAAATGCCAAGGGGTCTTTTTTTTTCTGGTGGTTGGTAGAAAAGAACTTTGTGACTGCCAACTATTCCATTTCTGTTGGTTGGTTGAAGATTCATCAAGGCTCCGTTTGGTTCATGGGAACAAGGGCCTGGAATCGGAATTAGAATGGGCTATTTCAATACCAACTATTTGGTTTAAAGAATCGGAATCTGAATTCTATTCCATTTCTGTTGAAATGGAATTTCACCATTTGAGGGAATGGCTATTTTCTACCCCTCCTTTAGAAATAAAATTCCATTCCAGCTTATTTTAATTTCTATTTCCATCTGTATCTGAACCAAACAGGTGGAGTAGACTATTACGACTCCGATTCAGACTGTCAACCAAAAGGTCCACGAATAAGCATCTAGTAAGGGTAGTATGGATTTACCATGGTTTTAAAAAACGACCCGGAAATGGAACCGTTCCGGCCACTGGTTTCCGTGTCGATGGTCCGACCATCCAGTCTGAACGGATGGCCCGTTCTGACAAACAAATTAAAAAATTAAAAATAAAGAATAGTCAAAAACTGTTGAACAGGTTGATAGATCAATGATTTGACCACTCAAATCAATAGATTGTTGACTTTTTCAACGGTTTTTAACCAAAGACCGAATTTAAAGTAAAATGAAATCGATTGCCTAAACGATTCCCGGGCCAAACGGTCCGACTGTTCGAATGAACGGCGGTTCAAAAACCATGTGATTTAC